GGGAATTTGTTAAAACATCTTCATGAAAAATAACAAGGAAAAGCAGCTTTTTTATCGTGCTGCACAGTGTTCTGCATGCGTCTTGTGCTTTCTCTCAGTGCCTTCCTGCATAGGTGAAGTCAGTCCATTTCAGTGCTTGGAAGTTCTGCCTAAGTGCATTGTGTGTGGCTGCACTTACGGCTGCGACCCTGGGCCTCTATTGGAGGGGCAGAGCCTCACAGGGGCAGGGGAAACCTGTGGCCAAACAGCACCCTCTGTACACTCTCACAACTTGAGAATAGTCTGATAACAGAATGATGTAGACCAGCTTCCTTTGCTGCTCTCTTTCTTACCCCCGTTTGACTGCTTGGTTCACAGTTCTTTTGTGTCCCAATAGCAGAGGTGGAAGGGGACGAAAGTGCATCCAGAGATTGGCCGATCTCTGAGTTCCCTTTATTACTCACTGTGGTCATGTATGTGTGGTATATGACCAGAATAGCACTGTGGTTATTACAGCCACTGCAATAAAAAAAAAAAAAAACTGATACAAACGCTAACCCACTGAAGTCCCAGTGGCTGGAATATCCCTCTCTTCCTTTGTTACATCAGCAGATTTTGAGCTGAAGGTAAACACACAACTTTGATCTAGACCAGGGGTCAGCAACCTTTAACACTCAGAGAGCCATGTGGACCCATTTCCCACACAAAAGAAAACACCAGGAGCTGCAAAACCCTTTTGACATCTAGAATGATGTTGACACTGCATACTGTATATTGTTTTTTTACCTTAATGCTCTGTATATCGTCATTATGATTTAGCTGCAGCTCTTGTTCAGTAACTAAAAACTGTTATTTTTAATCTTATATTATAAACTAGTAGGACTCCTTTCATATATTTTGAATAGGAGAACAGCTTCCTGAAGAGTCAGAGTCAGTGCTAAAGGGCTGCATGCATTAAACAGCAAACCCCATATGTTTGTCAGCAGTAAAAGCAAGTGAATCTACCCACGTATCATTAAATGTTTGGTTTTCTTCAGAAACTTTTCTTTGATTTATCCATGGTTTGCCTACCGGGGGAAGTTGCAGATATAGGTGTGTTTAGTGACTGATTAGCAGATAAACAGTCAAGTGATGTGAATTGTGACAGGTCTCAAGCGCAGCTTTTATCATTCAGAAGAAGATTACATTTGGACAAAGAGAATCTTTTCAGCAGCATTTCGTGCAGCATGAGAGCCTGCAGGAAGCTTGTTCCACTCTTTCCCTGCACAATAGCAGAGGAATGTCGCAATTTACTTAACCTGCTAGTGCAGCCTTCCTGAGTGGATGCCTCATCATCACCTATTGGTATTTTGTAACTCGGACCCTCGGTCGCAGATCAGCGGCTGTGACGTGTATTTTGGGCTCTGGAGCCGCCGCAGAGGGATTCAAGAGCCACGTGCGGTTCCAGAGCTGCGGGTTGCTGACCCCTGGCCTAGATTATGGTTTGACTGTCTAGTCTCATATCTGGAAGAATAATCTGGAACTACATTACTGTTCTGCTGCATGGGATGAAGCAGTGAATATTGCTGATACCTTAATGGGATCACAAGAAACGAGCTGCACAAGCTTTCCTCTTGAGGTGATGTGCACAGTGTCAGGCTCTTACAATTCCCATAGGGCAGTGATGACGAACCTTTTAGAGACCGAGTGCCCAAACTGCAACCTAAAACCCACTTATTCATGCAAAGTGCCCACACTGCAATTAACCTGAATACTGAGGTTTCACTTTAGAACAAACACCTCACAGCCAGTCCAAGCAAATGCATATACATCCTTGGCAGCGCACGGACCGGCCAGGCGAAAGCTCAGACGAGTTGCGGCTAGTGATGCCATCGCCCAGTGCTGCTACTCCTTTCCAAGCATGCGCATGGCCCCTACGTGTGCTGTAATCCGACGCTTGGCTGCTGGGGCAACTTGGCTCGCGTGGTGCCAAAGAGGACTGCGTGCCCCCTGCGGCACACACACCATAGGTTCGCCACCACTGCCATGAGGTGAGCAGTGCAATTTACATGTTTACTTGAAGATGTTCAGTTCTGTATCGAGTGGGTCTTAATCCCAAATAAATGGTCATAGGATTACAGCCTTAGTGCCAGAGTAGACATTACATTAAATCCATATAGAGCAGCTATGTCTCTCACCACTGTAAATTTGTGGTGGATGCTGGGCCCCCAGTTCAGATTGTGGCCTGGGAATGAGGTGAGAAGGGCTTTTAGGGTCTGAATCAGACCTCCTGCACCTATTGTAAGATAAAAATGAGCTGTGGGGGAGATGTAACTGCTGGGTACAGATTTAAAATAATGTCTGTTTTGACCCTAAGAAATTAGATAGTAGCTCAAGTTATGCTCTATTTATGAATCTTACAGTCAGAGTACTTTGGAAGCAAACCGTCTCTTAAAAAACACTGATTTCACTACAGCTTCTCAGGAAGCAGCCATATGTTAAAGGCATTCAGTCTACAGTCCTATATATGTTTACATGTACATCCCACTAAACTCATATAGGATCATGGTATGAAGCATATATATCTACTTCCATCTAAATGAACCTTCTAAATTTGTTGCCATGTTCTCTTGATGCATAATAGTGGGTTTTGTTTGGTGGAAAAGAGTGTTTGATAAACAACTATTAACAGTTCTCCTTTCTTTTAAAGAAAAATGATTTTTTTTTGTATTTGCCTATGTGTCTGGGAATGGCCATTTTTATTATATGTACATATGTGTGATTTGTACAAAAAATGATTATGGGTGTCATACTCAGCCACACAGCCGGAGAGTGCAGGGGTAGCAGCAGAGTTATCACACTTAATGCATTCACGGAAGTAAAAAAGAACAGCATACAAGACCTTGAAAGATGTTAGGATCCATTTTGTGGTAAACGTGATAATCCATGAATTATAGTTTTCTTGATTCCATTAATTAAACCTACAACCAGAAGCCGTTGATTCACACTTGATAGCTGTTCAGAAATGCTGTGTCTAGTCTGGATTGCAATTAACAATGTAGTTTTGCTAATAAAAGAAGTGGCATTTGAGGAGATGAAAGAGTGAAGGGGTATAATTATGACAGGATTATATGGAGCAGGGCTGTTCATCTACCACAATTTTCTGCATCAAGTAGAACAAGGCAGATAATGCTTCTGTTGTAGTGGACGAACAAGTGCAAGGGACTGAACGCTTAGCATTCTCCCTGCCCTGCGTCCCTTTCAAGGGAATTTTTAAAGGAAGACATTTACAGGGAAAGCTAATGTGAATTAGCGCTGGTACAGTTCAGTAAGCAAGACATTCCTGTCTTATTCTGTGGATTAGAGGCTGGTTGAAGGTTTTACAATCTGGTCAGACCCCTCTGGCACAGAAGAAGCACAGGTAAGGAGGGCTGTCTCAACAGTACAATTGCCAGTGGAGCAGCATTGCTATGGAGCAGGGGAGGCAACCTACTGTCCTCCGGGTATTTTGGTCTACAACTTTCATAGATTTCAGCCAACTTGGCCAGTGGTCGGAGACTATGCAAGTTGTCATTAAAAGCATATGGAAGACAGCAACTTGCCCGCTCCTGGTAAAAGGTATACGTGGCTTCTGCATGTGGGATGTAACCATGTATTGATGTTGTAGTTGTCGCATAGTCAGAAGGAAGTATGTCGTTAGGAGAGGCAAGTCGTCGTGTGTGTGCCAACAGCTCTGATGGCTTCATGCACTGACAGTCTGCTAAAGGGCCAGGAAGATACTGGCGTCAGGATCATTGGTTTGTGTTAGTTTGTCACTGATCAAAAGAGTGCTCCTCAATGGCACCGTCTCAAATTGGATGGAGGTGACTAGTGGGGGGCCACAGGGTTCAGTCCTGGGCCCAGCGCTCTTCTACATCTTTATTAATGATTTAGATGTGGAAGTACAAGGAAAGATAATCAGATTTGCAGGTGATACAAAACTGGATGGAATAGCAAACACCCCAGAAAACAGAATGAAGATCCAGGGTGATCTTGATAAACTTGAACACTCAGGGCTCAATGCAGCAGAATGAGATTCAGAAAGGACGAGTGCCAAGTTCTCCACCTAGGAAAAAGAAGCCAAATGTATCAATACAGGATGAGGAACAGGTGGCTCAACAGAACTGAAAAAGAAAAAGATTTCAGAGTAATTGTGGACAGTAGGCTAAACATGACCCAACAATGCGATGCAACTGCCAAAAAGGCAAATGCTATTTGGGGATGCATTAGTAGTAGCTCCTCTATGCTCCTCACTAGTTGGACCTCATCTGGAATACTGCGTCCAGTTCTGGGCACCAAAATTTAAGAAAGATGCTGGAAAATTAGAAGGGGTTTAGAGGAGGGCAACAAAAATGATCCAGGGTTTGGAAACACTGCCCTGTAAGGAGAGACTGAGAGAACTGAGCATGTTCAGCCTTGAGAAGAGAAGACTGAGGGTGGACATGACATCCCTGTATAAGTACCTCAAAGGCTGCCACACAGAGGAAGGTCAAGATCTCTTCTTGCTGATGCCAGAGTGTAGGACACGGAATAATCAAGTCAAGTTGCAGCAACCCAGATTCAGGCTGGATATGAGGAAAAGCTTTCATACTGTCAGAGCAATACTGCAGTGGAACTAGTTGCCTAGAGAGGTGGCGGGCTCTCCCACCCTAGAGACACTCAAAAAGAAACTGAACGGCCATCTGAGTGGGATGGTGTGACTTGGTGTCCTGCAACAGCAGGGGTTGGACCCGATGGCCTTCATGGCCCCTTCCAGCCCTACTATTCTATGATTCTGTGATGTCTTTCCAAAATCTAGGAGGCATTTATAGATCTATCCGAGCCATTTGTGGTAATAAAAACCATCCAGAATATATTTCATAGACAGGTTGAAGAAAAGGTGTCCTTGCCTGCTCTGGCCTGGCTGTCTACTCATCTCCCAAACAATGCCAAGGATTAATGTGAACCGTCACAATATCGGGTAGAGAAACTGATAATATCCTGTTCTGTTTCACTCTTCTTAGGCAAAATGGGGAAACAGAATAGCAAACTGGCTCCTGAAGTGATGGAAGATCTGGTGAAGAGTACAGAGTTTAACGAACATGAACTCAAACAGTGGTACAAAGGATTTCTAAAGGACTGTCCTAGTGGGAGACTGAATCTAGAGGAGTTTCAACAGCTTTATGTAAAGGTAAGGATATTTTGTGTGTTTTTTCTTTTATCACAATAACAGTAACATGTCAAGGTCCTGCATAACAGTCTTCTTGAAAATTAACCTGCTAGCTCCCATCTGGATCATTTTTGTCATGCAAGAAATGCTGAGTTTCTGTCATGTGTCATGAGGAAATCCAGTTGAGTTTTCCCCAAAGGAAAACTACTATAATTTACTCTACCCTGCTTTACACTACTCTAGTTTTCCCTGCAGTGAAGTCATTAACATGTTTGTCTCCATTGCAGCTATAGTGTAATGTTGTGAATACTTACTCAAGAACACCATTGATAAATTTGATGAGTGGTAAACCTTGGCCTCTCTGCTCTCCATACCACGTTGTGACCTTCAAGGAAAAATTGGTGTTTTTTAAATGTTATTGATCACAGTCTTTTCCAGCCTGACTACAACTCTCATCATTTCCAATGGCAGGCAATTAGGTGGACAGGGATGGTGGGAGTTGTAGTCCAACACATATAGAAGACACCTAGTTGGGGAAAGCTGCTTTAGTGCCCATCCCACTGAAATGCAGAATAATTCTTACAGGTCCTAAACACATGCAAATCAAGTCCCTCCACCCACAGTACCACCTTGGGAGCACAATTAATAATTGATTTAAAGTTAATTTAAAAATCTGCCAAATGAATTACTGAATATTACATAAATAAAGGGAAACATCCCAGCATTTTTGCAAATGTTTTGCTTTGTTGTTGCTATTACCATTTTATTGCTGATCTGCTATTGTATCCTTTCC